GACCTAACTGACTGTCTCAACCGCACGCTCAATGAGATGCTTTCGATGTACGTTTTCGAAAATCAACATGACTGGGACATCACGTTGCCCTATGTGACTTTCGCACATGATTCTTCTCGACATGACACCGCGGAATTCTCACCTTTTTATTTTTTGTATGGTCGCCACCACATATTGCCATTTGAAACCACCTTACCTCTCAAGCCATCTGCTTCCGAGTACGCTCGCAAAGCCATTGATCGGGCTCACATTGCTCGTCAAGTTGCCCAGTCTCGTCTTCCCTGGTCACAGGATATGTAAAATGTGCTGTTTTATCTCTCTTCCCTCTCGGGCTCTGTATCTTTCATCTCCTCCATCCCCCTCCTATGCGCAGGGTAGCAAACCAGCTGCCTATAGGCTGGTGAACCTCCCTGACGTTCTTTTCCTCCTATTTTCCTTCCTTCCTTCCTTCCTTCCTTCCTTCCTTCCTTCCTTCCTTCCTTCCTTCCTTCCTTCCTTCCTTCCTTCCTTCCTTCCTTCCTTCCTTCCTTCCTTCCTTCCTTCCTTCCTTCCTTCCTTCCGCTACGACCACCGGCATCGTAATATAACGTTTGCCTCAGATGACCGCGTGCTCCTGTGGTCACCGTGTCGCCGTGTAGGCTTCTCCGGAAAACTTTTGTCTCGATACGCAGGACCCTACCTAGTCTTACGTCAAGTCAGCGAAGTCAACTGCGAGATAGCGCCATTGCATTCCAATACGTCACGAAGTTCGTCACTTGTTGACATTGTCCTTGTTTCGCGCATGAAACCCTACTTCTGTCGCACTTCTCTGGACTCATGCTGAGACGGCGCTTCAATGCCCGGGGGTCCTGTTATGGAGATGAAGTAAAAGAAGAGGAAGGATAGAATCAGCTGACATACGCGAGAGTGTGCCAATGAGCCATTGCGACTCTTGCCTGTGGTTTTTCCTCTGTAAATGCATTTTGTGCGGTTACCGACCCCGTAACAATATCCAGTGTATGAACTCCTATTAGAGCAATAAGATTCATTAATAAGTTCTTCAGTTATGTTGTTCGCCATCATCGCAAAATTTGGAAGCCCTCTGTCATTGAGGAGCAAGCAAATTTTGTGTCTTCTGTTGGTCTGAATTCCACAAGGTTCAGCCTCTCCCTTTCCCGCGCGCTTGCAATCTGGAGAGAGCCGCTGGGAAAAGCAATGTGACATCATGTCTTTTCCCGTAGGCAGTATCTTCGAACATGCATTGAGACATCAAAGGAATAAAAAAGTGGACGCGTACTTGCGTGCCCCGCTGCAAATGTCGTCGAAAGACAATATTCTTCTGCTGGCCTTGTTTCTTGCATAGCGTCGTATTTTCATAGCAGCGTAAGAAACCAAAGGGTATCTAGAATTATGCACGTGTGTATTTTCTGGTAAAGAAGCACATCACCTAATACTTACGTATTGATGTTTCTTCTCAGATAAGCATAATATTTGCTTTTTGATCGAACATGTTCACAGGTATGAATGTAGCCACCAGTTCTAGACGGTTGGGCGTTCATCGAGTGCTTAAACTTTGGCTGGGGGGGCTGAACCTTGTGACAGACACACAGATAACCGGAATTTTCGTGTTCAAATATCTCAAGAATGATTATCGTCTTTAAAGAGAACATAGTAATAATGTTTGGTGTTTTACGTACCAGAACTACTAATGATTAGCACATGCGCCATAGGGGAGGTCTCGAGCAAAATTGCCCAGAGGGTGTTTTTATAAAGGCCATTAAATAGGTTGACTTTTTTGTACCCCCCAAACAACCTCGCTATGGCGTACTACAAACCACGGCGATAACATTTTACAAATATTAAAGCGCTGTACTTGACGCTGACTATCCATTTCAAAAAACTATTCCCTCACTCCTTTCCTATATCTGTCCAATCCTCTTTGTATGGACAGTGACGAAATTTTGTTCGGCGCAAAGGTGCATATCCAATCTCGTACTCGTTCGAGGTGAAATATGCTTGCGTGGTAGATGCCTTGTTTGGTGCTCGGTTGCGCACCTATGATGTAATCGCTGACGTCGTGATACGTTGACGAAGTGGGCGTAATTAAAATGTAGCGCCTCTCTCCGCTCTGAGAACGGGTGGGAAGGGCCAATTGGCATTACAAAGGAGGAGCGAGAAACCACGACCAGACAAAGTGGGTCGTTCAAAGCCCTGTGACTTTCTTTACTGAAGTCGCACTTATGCGCAAAGTTCTCGCGGTGGCACGTTCGCATTGTACAAGGGCACAGCTATTTCCCCATTAGAAATTTTGGATCACGAGGTTTACTGGTCCTTTGGCGGGCACTGAAGTCGCACACTACATGGGCCTCTGCAATTTAGCATCTACCAAAACGCACACAATGTTGAAAGAAAGTGGTTCAGCGAAAGCATTGTTTTTTTTCACAAATGGGAAACATTTGGCACGATGGGATACTGATTTAACTTGGATGCACGATACGTCAAGTCGGCTATGGACTGGGGAGTGAAATGGGGCAAAGATCGCCCGAGTATATTCTTAGCAATTTTTGTCAAAAAAAAACAGGCCTTGTTTCATCCACCTGATCGAATGATCCTAATTGCCATTTGTTTGAATGTAGTATTGGGAAAGTGACTTCTCCTTCATTAGTTTTCAGACCAAATATAACCATGGGGACTGCTGGAGAACGACTCCCAGCGCACTTATAAGCTATAAAAAGCACCCTGTCATATAGTATGGACCCTTAGCTTTATGTGACGTTCGTAGACGGGATAAGCCATGGTGGGCTACATCTAAATGTGACTGAACTTCCTACCCGGTGTTTTCTGAATCTATAGTGCGAGGGTGATATCACTACTAGCACCAATACTACAACTTTTTTTCTATAAGGTAACAAGGTGGTGGAGAATTTATGAATGTTTTCGCCGGAAGTATCAGACTAAGGGAGAAAATGAGGCAAGCAGCATCTATCGTATAATAAGGCAGACATCTGCAGTTTTCATTACCTGTGACACCCAAACGCCTTCAGTGTGATTTCTCGTGATTTTTTTCTTACTCATGGTTTGTGCTCAGTTGATCAATGCATGAAATGATTCTCATCAGTATATGTCCTGTTTCCACATGGTGTGGGAGTTAGTAAGGACGGCTCGTGTGTGCTTGTCGAAGTTTTTGCAGAATATGCAGCACACACACGTAAAGGCTGAAAGAAAGGTGACGTAGTAAGAAAAGAAGCCAAAGAGGGATGCACACTGGCACTGAATAATGTGCAGAATGTTTAAAAAAGAGCAGGATGTTTAAAAAAGTCACAGCTTTACCGCAAAGATAAAGCAACGAATACGATAGCAACAAATTGAAAGGTCACGTGCAGAATGGGAAGCAGATCAAAACGAGCCCCACATTTCTCACACACAAATAACGCACGAAACACACTTACAGACACAGATGAACACAAGTAAGCGTCTCAGTTGTTTCTTCGCTGTGTCTGAAAAGCGCGCTCTTTTCGCAAACGGAGACTGTGCAAGGATTTCAGTGACCTTTGTGCGCCCGGTAACAACAGAATCGTTCCGGTGACAGCTTAAAGACAGCCAAAACCTAAAATGCTCCCTACTACAAGATAAGGGCGCGCGAGTGTGCGTTCATGGGCTATGCAACCACCTTCTCCTCTCCGCGAGGCAAAGTACACGTGGGAGATGAGGGTGCACGCCGCCGCACGCTCATGGCGCCATCTTGCTGGTAATGCTGAAAACACGATAGTTCACCCCTCAAGATGCCCGTCAACAGCGGTAAGTGGTAGATTTAAATAGCTTGCCGTTTGCCCGTTGGAGGACGTGCTCCTTGGTGGCTCAGTGGTCAAAGCCTCGCACTCACGACGCAGAGGCTCCAAGTTCGATTCCGCGCGCCGATTCTGCCCCGCAGTGAAGCGTAGCGGCACATGCGTACACACGGGAGATATTTCGTGTCGTTGACTCAAGCGCGCCACTCAGTAGCAGCCAGGCACTGGTCTTGCTTGGCTCCAGTACAACAAAAACAGCACACTCGTGTGCACCTGCGCCTCTTTTCAGTTGATGCGCGGCTACGGAGGATGCACTGACACTCAGCAGAGCGTTGCCACGCTGAGCCGTGCTCACTCTAAGAGTTGACGCCACTCTAGGTAAACCAACCACCCACAAGCGCTTTTCTCCTTATTCAAGTTTCTGACTTTTCAAAAAAATCAGAATTGCCACAAACCTAGAAATAACTTCAAGCGTTAAACCATAATGCTGTCAACATTCACTTCAGATAGCTTTGAGGCGCCTCTGTGTTTTTCGTGGTGGCGTGGTGGTCATGGTGCTCGGCTGCAGACTGGAAGGTGCCGGCTTTTATAGTGACCTCGGCAGTCACATTTCGATGGAGGCGAAATGCTAGAGGCCTATGCACTGTGCGATGTTAGGGAACGTGTTAGAAACTCCGGATGATTGAGATTTCCGGTGTCTTCTACTACGGCGCCTCATAAGTGGTTCAGACACGTAAAGCCCCAGACATCATTTTATTATAGGGCGCCTCTGTGAGAACCTCGCGCACTGTGACCATAAGAACATTTATGTAGAACGACGTTTCTCGCTGAAAGCCTTGATCTAATGAAAGAGTGAACAGGGTAGTATATCTGATTGTATTTCATTAAATTAGATGTCTGAATAGCGACCTTATGACACCAAACACCTCAGCATCTTCTTTGTTGCTTTCTCTCTACCGATGATTTCGATGTTTCTACTAGCCTTAGTGGCGCATCCTTTCAGGAATCTTTTTAGCGTGCCACCAGCTTCGTGGATACCTTCGCAATGTCATAACTTTGAGTGATAACGTTTTTCAAGTTTGTCCAACTAGAACATACATATATTTATTCTAAGTAGTGTACTTATTTCCGGGCCCCTTGGGGTCAAATCTGCGCCTCACATGTGTATGTTCTTCAGTTATTCCTCAGGAAGCTCATTTATTTATTTATTTATTTATTTATTTATTCTTGTAGGTGTGGTATTGACAAATGGCAACGTAGTCGCCTTCATCCTGGGAATAGCCAGCGTAATGCGGGAGTTCACGTAAGAACAACTCGTTTCCGGCGTTTTCTGGTGCCTCCTCGCGTAGCAGTGCTCTTCCTGCAAACAGTCTTCTTTGCTCGCTTTCGCCTTTCTTTCCAGGTGTGGGGACAGATTCGTTGCATTTCTTCCTCTTGCTCACGTCATGGAAATTGCATGTGGTATGTCCACTGTGTGCTTTCGAAAATCGACAGTAATCGATTGTGATTCAAAACGCTTGTCTATTCAATAACACTAGATGATAAATGCAATCCGCTGTCTTTCCATTCGCGTAGGCGTATAAACTTTTTTAACACAGTGCTATATATTCTGTTCGCCATTGCGGTTGCTCGTGAACTAGCGGCACTTCGTTTGAAAATTGTATTAGCCACATGGTACCACGCAACTGGCTTTTTATTGTTCTCGCCTATATGTATATAACTGAAGGCCTGCAAACTCTGTACCACTACCGATGAAATGCACGTGAAGGACGACATAACTTGCAATGAAATCAAGAGGGGTGACGCGCAAAGTATAATTACATCAAAAAGCATATTGCTTTTGTATGCGCGTTACGCGTACTCTAACGTGAGTAAATTAGTTCAGTGAATCTTCAAACAGAAATCTTCCAACGAGAATTTTGATCTTTCCAGAAATTACATTTATGTCATTGGGTCTACAGATCGGTTACTCCAGCCCCTTCACGCTTACTGATCAGGTAATCAATCATTCTTGGTGCTTTGTTGATAGAGGAGGTTAGATCGATGCAACAATCAACGTAATCGTACAGTGAATATTAGTCACTTCTACGTGATTTGTTTCTGTTGGTGCATTCTTTTTATACTTCCCAGGGCACCGCGTTGATGCCTGGAGTCATTGGAGACACTAGTTTGCTCAAACCAACTGCTATGATTGCGGTTCCGGTGAGTATGTTCTTCCTTGTTTTTCTACAGATAGTTCGCTCGCTTAATAATTTTCATTTTCACATTTTGAATTTATGCTCACGACGTTTTGCTACATATCGATGGTGCCAGTTTTTAGTATTTAGCTTGTTTGATTACATTTTTACTCTTGAGCACTTGTGCAGTGCCTGCCAGCTAACACAGGGCAGTCGGGCCGCACATCAGCCAGCACATTTTAGTGCCACCGGTGAGCTATAAAAATATTGAACTTGTTCATATTGTGCACTATTAAAGAGGGAGGCTTGGTTCCGTATTGTGACAGCAATTAACCACCCCTTCCGAAATCAAAGTGCTGTTAGCGGTGATGACGCAAAGTGCCGGCTGCCAGGCTTAACCGCTGAACACTGTGAATTAAGTGCATTCCCTGTCTAATGTGTACCTATAATCCACCGTTTTGTTTAAAAAATAAACATCACTCCTGTCGTTCAATACATTCAACTTCATTTAATTCTTACCCGAATAATTGAACTAGGTATTGTTTGAGGGCACCTAAGTGTAATAATGCTTGATAACTTTTGTCATTCCAAAATTGTGCTTGTAATCAGTTATCATCGCCTTCCGGCGTAAAAGAGACCGAAGTCACCAGCATCGTTGATCTGCACGCACATCTACACTCGCGCACGTCTGTAGAAGCATGGTCTTTTGCTTTGCGTCCTTTTCTGCGTTTTTCTTGTTGTTTTAAGAACAACAAATCGAGCACCCGGTATCCCTTACTATTCTCGTTCACTGTGAGGAACAACTTTGTGCGACCAGCAGATTTCTTATAAACATCAGCATTGTTAGCCTTTGCTAAGTATCTTCATGAGTAAGAAATTAGAATCTTTTGCCAGATATTTTATTTCATAGGAGGCCCGCTTTATGTTTAACTTAAAACTAAACCTAGCATTGGCAGCGTACTCGCGTGCGCACTCGCGTAGCTTAATGAAGTGTTTCTGTCGAAGCTAGTTTTGCCACAGTAGTAGTCAAACAAAGGAGAAGCCAACTTTATTTTAGCACAAACTAAGTTTTATTTATTGCCTATTTGGTTTCGTTTTGTATTTGACTATCCGAAAATTATGAAAGTATTTTGTGAATAATATATATGAGTGCATATGTGCAAACACATATACACCTAAGGAGCAGAAATTTGGAGGCTTACAAAGAGGGTTCAGCTTAGATTGAGTACGACACAGCGAGTGATGGAAAAGAAAATGAAAGGTGTATCCATAACAGACAAGAATATAGCAGAGTGCATCAGGGAACAAACAGGGGATAATACTACTACTACTACTACTACTACTACTACTACTACTACTAATAATAATAATAATAATAGTCAGCCTGACTACGTTCATTGCAGGAAAAAGGACTCTCCCATATTCCGCCAGTCAACTGGGTCCTGTGCTTGCTGCTGCCATTTTATACACACTAACTTCTTAATCTTATCTGCCCACCAAACTTTGTCTTACCGTAACCCGCTCGCCTCCTCTGGGAATCCAGTTAGTTGCCCTTAATGGCCAGTGGTTATCCTGTCTACGCACTACATGCCCGTCCCATGTCCATTTTCCCCGTTTTGATTTCAACTATGATATCCTTAACTCCAGTTTGTTCCCTGATCCACTCAGCTCTCTCCTTCTCTATTTAGGTTACACCTACCATTTTGCTTTCTATTGCTCATTGTGTCATCCTCAATTTAAGGCAAACCCTATCTGTGAGTCTCCAGGTCTCTGCTCCGTAGCTAAATACCGGCAAGATGCAGCTGTTATATACCTTCCTCTTAAAGGATAGTGGTAATCTACCTGTCAAGATTTGAGAGTGTTTGTCAAATGTGCTCCACCCCATTTTTATTCTTCCAGTTACTTAAATCTTGTGGTTCGGCTCCACAGTTATTACCTGTCCTATGTAGACATAGTCTTTTACAACTTTTAGTACAATATTATCTATCTGGAAGCACTGTTCTCTACCGAGGTTGTTGTACATTACTTTTGTTTTCTTCAGATTACTTTTAAGACCTACCTTTCTACTCTCATTGTCTAACTCCATAATCATGAGTTGCCATTCGTTCCCTGAGTTACTCAGCAGTGCAATCTTATTAACGAAGCATAGATTATTAAGGTATTCTCCATTAACTCTCATCCCTAACTGTTCCCATTCTAGGCATCTGAAAACCTCCTGTAAGCACGCGGTAAATAGCATTGGGGAGATTGTATTATCTTGCCTCACACCCTACTTGATTGATATTCTGTTGCTTTCCTTATGAAGCACTATTGTAGCAGTTGATCCCTGGGAGATTTCTTCCAGGAAGTTTATATGCGCTTCGTCGACAGCCTGATTCCGCAGTGTCTGCAGGACTGCTGATATTTCTACTCAATCAAATGCCTTGTTGTAATCTATGAAGGCTATGTGTAGTGGTTGGCTGTATTCTGAGCATTTCATGATTTCCATATTGATAGTATGAATGTGGTCGGTTGTTTATGAACCTGTTCGAAATCCTGCTTGTTTCTTTGGTTGATTGAATTCTAATGTTGCCCTAATTCTGTTACCAATTAGCTTTGTAAATAGCTTGTATACGACGGAGAGCAAGCTATCGGCCTCTAATTCTTCAAGTCCTTGTCATTTCCTTACTTATGTATTAAGATGATGTTAGCATTCTTCCAAGATTCTAGTACTCTTCCCGTCAGGAGACACCTTGTAAATAGGGTGGCTAGTTTTTCTAACACAATCTGTCCTCCATCTTTCAGCAGATCTCATATTACCTGATCCTCACCATCAGCTTTGCCTCTTCGCATGCTCTCCAGGGATTTTCTGACTTCTATCATTACTGATGGGGTGCTATTTGGGTTACTGCTAGTTCTAGTAAGGTCATGGTTGTCCCGGCTACAATACAGATCTCTGTAAAACTCCTCCGCTATTTTAACTATCCTATCCACATTGGTAGTTATTTTGCTTTCCTTGTCCCTTAGTAAATATATGTTATTTTGCTTTCCTTGTCCCTTAGTGAATATATGTTATTTTTGCCTATCCCAACTTTCCTCTTCAATGCTTTGACACTTCCTCCATTCTTCGGAGCGTGTTTAATTTTCTTTATGTTATACCTTCTTACATCGCGTACTTTACGCTTATTAATCAACCTCAAAAGATCTGCCAACTCTATTTTGACTGTTGTACCTTAGTATTTCATGCTTCGACTCTTCTTAATGAGGTTCTTCATTGCCTGGGTCAGCTTGCCAGTGTCCTGTCTAATTACCGTACCTCCAACTTCCACTGCACACTCCATAATGATACTCGTCAGATTATCATTCATTGCGTCAACGCTTAGGCTGGTTTCCTCGATAAGAGCCGAGTACCTGTTCTCAAGTGAGAGACTGAATTCCTGTACTTTCGCTCTCAGTGCTAGCTCTTTTATTGGCTTCTTGCGTATCAGTTTCTATTGTCCCTTCTTGAAGTTTAGGCGAATTTGACACCGTACCATTCTGTGATCACTGCATCGTACCTTGCCGAGCACTTCCACATCCTGCACGAGGCCTGGGTGTGCACTCAGTATAACGTCTATTTCGTTCTTATTTTCGTCATTAGGACTCCTTAATTTCCAGGTATGGTTCCCTCGTTTTCAGTTGAAGGTGTTCAAAATCCGTAAATTGTTGCGTTTTACGAATTCTACTAACAGCTCCCCTCTGGCATTTCTAGTACCGATGCCGTTATCTCCTACTGCGTGGTCTCCAGCCTTCTTCTTTCCTATTTTGGCATTGAAGTCTCCCAGCAGTATAGTTTACTGTCTTTTACTTTACTCATTGCCCTCGGCTGCTGACCCGTAGGTCGCGCGATCGAATCCTGGCTACAGCGGCTGCATTTTCGAAGGAGGCGGAAATGTTGTAGGCCCGTGTGCTCAAACTTGGGTGCACATTAAAGAACTCCAGGTGGTCGAAACTTTCGGAGCTCTCCACTACAGCGTTTCTCATAATGATATGGTGGTTTTAGGACGTTAAACCCCACATATCAATCAATCTATCAAATGTGAGGCGTGTTCGTATGCATAGCGTGCCAGCTATAGCTTAGACCACGCAACTTCAAAGAGAGGACGATGAGATACAGTGATAGGGTAAATGGTTTTGTTTGTTCTTTTAGCCAACACCTTGCGCAGACTGCTTAATTTTCGTTAGCATTTATTACATACATCTCTTGTAAAAATAAGTTACACAATTTACTAACTGGTTGCCGAATTGCCTACGCTGGTATATTAAATTCTAGACCCCGTCGAAATGCTTTGTACAATCGTTACAAGCTAAGCTGCAGTATTCACTGTTATTTCTTTCATGCTTCAGTGTTGTGGCGTAAAACGCGAGTAACGGGAGGCTCGCCTCAGCAAAAAGAGCGTGAAACGAACACGACTGGAGAGTAGAAGCAACACAACACAGTCTGCAGTGTACAGCCTTTGATTTAGTGATTGTTTTCTTTGATGAATACGCAACAACTTGATGAAATTATCTGCTTTAGTTGGTACAAACTTGGCATGAACTGGCGTCTATCACGCGGGTCAACAACAGTGCTCTCAAAAATGTCTTTGAAGTAACGTAAATTTATACCTCTCATTTTTGTCCGTAGCCGGTGTAGTCGGTGTGCACAGCTTTCACATACAGCGTCACCTTGGTGCTTGCTGGAGTACAAAAGAAACCGACAGCTAAACTGCTGCCCTGCCACATTTTTTGTGGTCGATGCAGTCTGGCCCTGAGCAGTTCTCTTTCATTCGATTACTCGACAGTGTCATGCGTTCCATTTTGACTCTAGTTAGCGTTTTGGTCCACAGCTTTGGAACGCTGAGCAAATCATCCAGAAAAGATAATAACTGCCCGGGTGTAACGTTCCAAAACCATATTATGATTACGAAGGACACTGTGGCGTTAACGCGCACCCACACTTAAGTATATGGGCCTCAATAATTTTCACCTCTATTGAAAATTAGACTGCCACGCAGCTGGTATTCG